CGTGGACGAAATTACACTTTAGTATGACCGTTCAGGACACCCTAGATGAATAGTGATGCGCTGTATCCTTAAATCATCACACACGCATCCACTAACCCGAAGTTTAGGTTTGATTCAAGGAAACGCATGTCAAACCTGCTCCACAGGAAAACTTATTATTAAGCATTTTTATGACAAGATTTGTTTGAATCCTCATATTTTTCTACAAATGATTCAAGGGGACATTTGTGGACCGATTCAACTTCCATGCGGACCATTTAGATATTTTATGGTTTTGGTTGATGCTTCCACACATTGGTCACAAGTGTGCTTGTTGTCCACAAGCAACGCGGCTTGGGTTATCAAGCTCAAGGCTCACCATCCTGATTATCCGATTAAATATATTCAATTGGATAATGCTGGAGAATTCACATCTAAAACTATTGATGACTATTTCATCTCGGTTGGGGTTGAAGTTGAACCCGACATACAAATGATTGCTCGATCGTTGGTCATACTTACCAAGCTCTTGATTGCTACTTAGGGCCATGATTGCATGCAGTCATGTTGGTCAGCCTGAGGCCTGTTGAGACCAAACCGTATAACACTCTTCAATTGGTTACCATATACGAACCAGACATATCGCATTTGCACGTTTTTGGTTGTGTAGTCTATATGCTGATTTCGTTGCCTTTACATAGAAATCTACGTCATATATGATTCTTTGATTATTCGTTACTTAGAACCCTTGACAAGTATTTTTTTACCACTCGTGCGGATTGTCACTTCTATAAGACATTCTTCCTACCATTAGGGAAAGATAAGAACATCAACATTTCTGAAACTGAAGTGCAACGCATATTAGATCTTCAGAGCATAGCTCAGAGCATGTCAGATGCTTTCATTGATCTAGCGTGAGTGACAAGATGACATATTCCAGTTGCGAATATGCTTGTAAAGATGGATGTACCAAATGTACGATGGACTTCCCTCCTGAAAGCCTGGGACACCACTTTAGCCGATCCACATACATTAGCAGCTAGCCAATCATCTACCCCTACTTAAAAGTGTGGCAGACCACTTGGTTCAAAGGATTCACACCCTCGAAAGAGGAAACCCACAACACAGGCACCTGAAAAGCCTACCGTGAATCCAACTATCACTTACTCATCCTATCCAACTAATGAGGAAATTCTAGATTACGGAAGCATCCCTGAAGAGACGAATCCACCTCTCGAGAATCGTGAGATTTTGGTCCATTATGCTAGCTTTGATGATGTTTAGTGTAGAAATAAGATGATCATTGATGATGCATTAGCATACGTAGTACCTATTGAGATTATGTTGAGTGATGACATTAAACCCTATTAAGTTGATGAATGTCGACATATAACCGATTGGTCAAACTGGAAACAAGTAATCTAAGTCGAACTGGATTTGCTTGCGAAACGTAAGGTGTTTGGACCTGTAACTCCTACTCTTCCACATGTGAAGCTCATTGGCTACAAGTGGGTTTTTGTTTGGAAGCATAATGAGAAGAACAAAATTATGCATTACAAAGCTCGTCTTGTTGCGCAAGGCTTTTCACAATGCCCCGGGATTGACTATGACGAAACTTATTCACCTGTTATGGATGTGATTACTTTTCACTACCTTATCAGTTTGGTAGTTTCCGAAAAACTAAGTATGCAACTGATGGACGTAGTAATTGCATATCTTTATAGGGATCTTGGTACAAAAATTTATATGAAAGTTCTCGAAGGACTTATACTGACTGGATCAAATATTTCCAAACCCCAGAACACTCTCTCAATTTGGCTAAGGCGTTCACTCTACGATTTGAATCAATTCGGAAGAATGTGGTATAACCGTCTGAGTGATTATTTAACTAGTCAGGGATATGTGAACAACGAACTATATCTTTGTCTGTTCATTTTGAAGTCACATTCGGTTTTGTGTTAGTTGCAGTTCATGTCGATGACATGAACATCATCAGAACTCCTGACGAGTTTGCGAGAACTGCCGCGCACCTGAAGTTGAAATTTGAGATGAAAGATCTAGGAAATACTTAGTACTATCTCCATCTCAAGATAGAGCACTGTTTGGATGGAATCTTAGTACATCAAATGAACTATACCTAAAAGGTTTTGCGCTGCTTTAACGAGGATAAAGCAAAGCCTTCGAGTACTTCTATGGTCGTTCGATCGCTAGATGCAAAATGAGATCTCTTCTATCTAAAGGAGGATGATGAAGAGATTTTGGAGGATGAAGTTCCTTATCTGAGTACGATAGGCGCTTTATTGTACTTAATTCAATGAACTAGACCCAATATCTCCTTCGCTGTTAATCTTTCGACAAGATACAGTAATGCACCAACATGCAAACACTGGACTGGTGTTAAAGACATCTTCCGCTACCTTAAGGGTACTACAAATATGGGCTTGTGATCCGTACAAGGTATGTTCTCAAACATGTTATGTCTTTACTATTGGAGGTACCGCAAACTCTTGAAGGTAAACTAAACAGACCTTAGTTGCCACTTCGTCTAACCATGTTGAAATTCTTGCCTTACATGAAGCAACTCAGGAATGTTTTTGGTTGAGAGCAGTTGTGGGCCATATTCAAAGCTCCTGCAATTTTTACTCTATTGTTGATGTCCCGACGACGATCTATGAAGACAATGCAGCATGCATCGAACAACTCAAGAAGGGTTACATCAAAGTAGACAACACCAAGCACATTGCGCCAAAGTTCCTCTTCTCACATTAACAATAAGAGCATCAGAAGATTGAAGTCACGCAAATCCGTTCACAGGACAATCTGGCCGACCTCTTCACCAAATCACTACCGAAGACAACATTTTAGAAGCTTGTTCAAGGAATTGGTATGCGTAAACTTTCTGAGTTGTAACATTGCTAGTCTTTTTGGAATTGTAACAAACTCAGGGGGAGTATCTTGAAGTATACTTGCTTGATCTTGATGTACTCTTTTTCCCTACGATTAGGAGCATTTTTCCCACTGAGTTTTTGCTACCTAACGAGGTTTTGACGAGGCACCCACCTTGGGTTGATCATATCCTTGATGACGTCCTGTAGACATTTCATTTGACTTTGCATTTCTCACGCATTTTTCCTTGGACTATGGATTTGTCCCTACTCGGGTTTTTACCATAGCCATAGGGTTTTTTGTGAGACTTACTTCTTTATGCAAGTTCCTACCTTATTGAGAATAGTGTGTTCCCAGAATCAGTGCCGACGAGTCGACTTCCTCAACCTCTACATGATGTCGAATCTACTTGCATATTTACACACTCAGCGGGGAGTGTTGTAAACTTCTAGTTTAAGTGTGATTGTGTAAATCCTATATTAGATTTGATTCTAGTTATGTTTCCTTATTAGGACTTGTATTCCTTGGAGGAGAATGATTTATTCTCCCTCTTATTACTATAAATAAAGGCACTGCGTAGGGGGAATAATAGACATTCTCTACAGAACCCTACAAACACATCTCTCTATATTCTCTTTTTGTGCCATCGGCCCCCCTTCCCCTGTTAGTTAAATATAGGCCACAACAACAAACTAATAATAATAAAGGACGCATGGCTACGATTATTATATTTATATATTGTGCCTATAAAATACCCTACGGTATGATAGGAAATTTACTTTTGTTAATTTTTTTCGCTTTCGCTTTTTAACTGGTAACTTGCTCTGCCGAAAAAAAAGACTAGTACTTAATAATATGATACTCCCACCTTGACATTTCTATGAAGATCTCCTCTTGGTATACTATTGGGGTTGCTTAATCCGTCACTTGTTTTTCTTATGTCTAGTTTATTATTATTTTTACTTCAAATCTATTTTGTGATCTAACTGGTTCAGCAGTTACAATCAAGTGTAATAACAAAACAATATAAATGATATTGAAATTTTCTCACAATTTTATTATAGGAGAAAAATGAGATCGTGCTTATAAGAAAGTTAAGTTACTTTTCATACTGCCAATTATGACTTGTTTGGAAATGCTTTTAAAATGACTGAAAACACTTTTATAGGAAATGTTTTTAGATTCTAAAAGCACTTGAAGTGATTCTTGCAAAAAGCACATAATTGATCATTTTTGCATGAAACACTATAAGACTATGGTATATGTACATTTCCAAGATTCACTTGTGTTTTTACTATGATTGGTTTCAAAAATATTTCACTAAAATCGTTTTCAGCTATTTTTAAAGCATTTCTAAATGAGCTTTATTTTTATAAGTGAAATCTCATCTTCCTTTACCGTATGAATCTTATGTAGAAGAAAAAAGAGATTTTGTATGTGCTACTATTACAATAATTTATAAGAAAAGAAACTTTCAAACCTAAAACGCATGATCCAACATTTTACCTATTAAAATAGTGAATTATATGCAAAATGATAATAAATAATTTCATAGTATCCACTGATAATTTTATTAAAATAAAAGGCAGGTATCATCATTATATCTCACGTAAAATTTCCCAATCAAAATTAAAAGAAGAAAACCTGCCGACTTTATGGAAAGTGATGAATCGCATGGTTGAGGAGACTGATATCTTCTGTTCAATTAATTTGGAAATATTTTGCGTGATCGATTTTCTGATTGTGGGATCCCATAGATGGTAGTCCCAGTTCAATACGTATCCTATGTCCTTATCAGCTTGTCAGCATTACTACATGTGAAAGTAGTGTGGCATTTATTTAATTAGTCCCCAAATGTACAGTTATTTTTAATTAAATTAACAAGTTAACGATTAAATCCTTAAAAAATAAAAAAAAATAACAATTCACTGAGGTCACTTCACTGAATTTTAGCCAGCTCTGTATTGTAGCTATTGCTACTGAGGTCACTTCCTATGTCACCGTTCCAGTTAAAAAACCTCATCACATCAAAATCTTGAAACCCTAGCCACAGCAGAGATTTTATTTCCCCAAATGAACTTATCTTTTTTTTTTTTTTTTTTTTTTTTTTTTTTTTTTTTTTCTGGTTTTACGTTTTACTTTTTAAATTGAGGGGGACGGGTGCTATAAATAAAGTCGATCAATAAAATGCAAGCTGGAATATAGAGAATACAGAAAGAGATTTGGAGCTTTAAACATGGATTATATTCCTTCCAATATACTCCAATTTGACCAAGCTTCACAACATGCTGATGACTTGTTCCAAGTTTCCACCTTTTCCTACATAGAGAGCACAATCCAAGACAGTCAAGCACTCCCGCCGACTCTATCTCAGGATGGTCGTGATCTCACTTGGAGGCCAAGCTCCGGCCGCGGAAAGCGGAAGGCATCATCGTCGTCCATCAGTTTTAGTGAAATTGATGATAAAAAACCAAAGGGCAACAAGAAAGTCATGCATAGAGATATTGAACGACAAAGAAGGCAAGAAATGGGCACCCTTTATGCATCTCTTCGATCTCAACTCCCCCTTGAATATCTCAAGGTAAAATGGTTAAAATTTTGTCTGATAACTAAGAAGATGAATTTCTAGTACAGTTTGAGCCAAATTTCGATCTCATCTCCACCTTGAATAATGTCAAATTCTGACACACACACACATACACAATTGTGAACCAGCACCATACGTTTAAAGCACATGACATTGTACCCATGAATTATTTCTGATTGAATCTATGATAACTTAACATGTTAGACTATCCGATTAAACACTAGCTACTACTTTATTTTCTATGATTATATGTCAAATTTGATATACAATTACAAATTAGAAATATAGATTCAGATTCAGACATGATTTCATTAATCAAACCATGCTTCTTGATGCATAATTTGATAACACAACATGTTAGAGTATGTATTTGTCTTATCAATCCTCTTGTTTGGTGTTTTGGCTTTGTTGACTTGCATGCTTATCATGGTATTCAATTGCTTCAGGGTAAGAGGTCTATATCTGATCATGTGCACCAGGCAGGAAATTATATTAAGCATCTACAAAACAATGTCCAGGAACTGCATAATAAGAGGGATCAATTGAAAAGGTCGTGCAATATTTTACGCTCTGCCGGTACCAAAAATACACAGTGCAAAATGCAAGATTCTGTAATAATTGTTAGACCTTGTAGAGTAGGAATGGAAGTTGTTGTGAATGCTCCCTTGAAACAAGGGCTTCCGCTTTCTAGAGTACTCGAAATTCTGGTCGGAGAAGGACTTAGCACGGTCAGCTGCATCTCAACCGAAGTAAATGAAAGGTCGATTTATACAACTGAATCTGAGGTATTGTAATCGATCCCATGATATCAACTTTAGTTAGGGATTTATTTTCCTTCCCTTTTTTTCATGGCTACCTAAATATCTCGAATATTGCCAAAGTAACTACAGGTTTTTTTTAGTAAGAAAGCTGGCAAATTCCTAGCAAAATGCATATACATGTTTGTAATCTTTTTTGACTAAGATAATTCTTCCTATGTAATTGTTACTTAAAATTGACTCACTAAACAACATTCCATGTGAAACATGCATGAGATGAAAAACATAAAACAAATCCAATGAAACAAATTTGAAGCAAGCAATTAAAATTCTCCCCCTTAGTTTCATACATCAATCTACTATCCATGTAATCGATACATTAGTCACTGATTTTGCTTGACGTTTTTGAGACGAAAGCACGAGAGACAAAGTACTATGACTGAAAAATTACATATATAGGAATAACTATCTAATTAGAAGATTATAAATACATGCGTTTTGCTAGAAATTGCAAATTTCGTACTAAGGAACTGTTAAACAAAATGTTTATGTTCCCAAATTGTTAGTTTTAGTCACATTGGCAAAAATCAATATGACCAATGGTTTTAGATTCATCTATAATCTGGCAACATAAAATATATTCTGTTTGCTAAATCCACAATTAGTCCTGTTCATATTTAGTGGGCATATATACACAGGTAAGTGATGGGAGTATCATTGATATGTCGGAACTACAACAGAGATTGACAAGATCTTTTGATCAAGCCTGGCTTCAACTAAGGTGCTGGAGGATTTGATTATATATATCCTTTGTAAAAGTTTGGTGAGCTGTGTTTGTATCCCTGGCCGGCCCTATTGATATTCGACCTCCTGGTATTTAATATGACCAGCTACTACTGGAAATGTGATTAAGCTATTGTGTTCATCAATGACTAATGAGGAAAAAGCTAAGGGATGGTGATCCCATAAAACAATATTATGGTTGTAACATCACGTACACAGTGTGTAAAATAAGAAAGGTAGGGTTGGCGTTGGTCTGGGTTTCTGCCCCTTATGGTGAGGAAATGGAACTGACTTCGATGTGCTAAGTCCAATTCCGGAGTTTTAATGATGTGTGCCATAGCTCAAGTGTATTTTGTTCGGATCATGTACAGCTTTCATTTTTATGTAGTTTCTTTGCCAGTTCAACTGAGTTAGTACATGTATGTTTAATTACATTTAGCAACATATATGTACATGTAAAAGATATGTAGACTCGACGCATAGAGTTGAATAAGATGTTGATGATCTTGAGATTAGTAAGATGCAGCTCCAGCAATGATTTCATGAACATGTTCTCTTGTTATCAAAAATATATAAGGTAACATTTCTCTTCCATATATAATTTTCTTAATTTTTTTTTATTGATTTATTAAATTGATTCTTGGTGTAACATTGTGTATTAATCTCAAATGATGAAAGAATTGAGTTTTTGGCTGCCAATAATATTACGATCTAGTAATATTATAAAAATTGACAATATTAAACCTAGGCTACCAGATACACTGATATTCATGACAACTAATATTTAACTAGAATTGATTTATATATGTTCCATGATGAAGTTGTGACAGGAAGTAAAGAGAGAGAGAGATTGACAAAAAAAGTTGGTTCTTCCTCGTTTTTGGGTAGTGGAGTGGGGGAGTCGCCAGGGTTTAGGAAGCTTTGAGGAATTCGCAGCATAATATTCCTCTTTTTTTTTTTTTTTTCCTTTTTTTTTTTATAATTCTTCCCGTGTGTTTTTATTAAGTTGTGCCATAATTTTATTTTAGCAATGTTTCTAATAAAAGAATGTCATTAAAAAAATTACTAAGTGTCATAAAAACTCTATTTTGTAGTAGTGGCAGAAAAATAGTTGGGTTCGGAAGTGATACAATAATAAATTTGTGTACAAAACTATTTTAGTATGTAGATCCAACATTGCATAAAATATTTTATTATTTTATACTGTTTAGTCTAAGTCAAGTTAATCCATATTAGTCCATAAAGTATGTCCAAGTCTGAACTAGTGTGTAACAAACGGGACCTTAGTGGCAGCAAGAATCACAATACCTAATTATATACCATGATATATAGATAGAGAGAAGTTGCAAACATGCAAGCATTAAATTAATACTAACTGTGTTTGTTAACAGAGTAAAAATGCAATCACGGAATCAGAACACATAAAAGATAAAACCATGCATCACTCAAGTATCCAGGGTGGATGGTGCAGTCCGAACCGTAACCCCTAATAGCTTTAGGATTCCCAATATACACTCTAAAAATCGGGAATCATTGTAGTGACAGTCCACAGTGTCCTTCTCAATCTTCCATATCCACGCAATGATCATTTGATGATTGTTTATTTATTTTTATTATTTTAATAAAAAATGATGGCTTTATAGAAATTATGTTTGGAATATGAATAAAAATAAGGTTTGCTACGGGGCCTATTCATTTTTATTTATGCAAAAGTTGCACAAATACAACTCCCAAATGTCGAAACCCAAATTAGGGCTCGAACGACCATCTCATTTCACTCCAACATGTCTGACGCCTCGAACAGAAATCTCTTCAAAGCACGTTGCCATGCAGACGACCAAATCTGAGAATATATCGCCTCTGTAAATGGCTATACACACATCATCTGACACATTGATATCACCACCGCAATTGTGTGAACCACCACAAGACATAGCTGAAGACCACCAATAAGGAATTTTGCCAAATGACTGATCTATCTGTGCTCCAACTTAGCAATATGATTAAGGTTGCTCATTCTCCAATTCCTATAACAGAGGCAGAGACCTTCAAGTTGCAGACCTTCCTCTAATTCAATCTCTATGATAAAACAAAACCTTGAGTGTTTCTTCAACCAAACCCACTTTTTTTTCAGCACAAATCCAATTACTCTTCACAAAACTATCTTAGCTCTTCAACTACAATCTCAAAAACTTCCTCTAAAGCAAACACTTGCCTACGATCCTTCAAATCTAAAACTCTTATTACATTGCCACCCCATTGCATGATTCAATTGATGTACAATTCCAACCACCCTAATTCCCTATTAGAGACGTATGTTTTGCACTAAGTTCAATCCAACACCAGTCATCTCAATGAACTGGTACGTTGCTGTCCTTATCATGAAACCACCCTTATTGCATTGCATTAGTTTATAGTAATGCATGGATCATATATGATTCCCAACGATCTTCTTCTCTGGACTGGGAACAAAAAATGCGTCCGCTAAGCAAGCCCCCACTTCTCCAAGATCGCAACATTGCAAACATATATAGCCGTCCTATTAATAATTGTTACAACAGCACAAAAGCTATGAAAAATATGTTTGCAATGGTACCTAATGAACAATTTCATTACTCATTATTGGGTTTTTTTAAGGATCAAAATATGTGGTCGGTACCAATTTTCTTCTCTCCTATCTTTTTATTTTTTATTATATATATATATATATATTTTTTTTTCATTCGGTTTCTTCTCTCCTATCTTAATTGATTGTAATCATAAGAAGGATTGTGTGCTTTAGCTTGTTTATCATTCTTTTATACTGGTAGAAGTGCATACCCACACCACGTGAGACCCCTTATGCTTAAACAATGCATGTGACCCACTCACTCTTATCTACTTTCCATCCAATTCTTTCAAATATTTTATTTCACTAACCTACATTTAATTTGGACAAGAAAATTTAAGAGTATAATAAATAAATAAAAAATGGCTAGGAGAGCGCTAGGGTTAGATATTGCGGCATCGGCCGTCAGGATTTCTGGGCGTTTTCGAGGCAGTGGTTCGGCTGTTAATCAAGGCAACAATCTGGGTACGCCAAGGGTGGATGTTTTCCAGAATAGTAAGGTTAGTGGGGGGTTTTTTCTGCGAGTTCTTGCGGAGCACAGGTTAGTGGGGGGTTTTTTCTGCGAGTTCTTGCGGAGCACTGTGCAAGCTGTGTATAGGGAGATGGACGATATGGTTACGAAGTTTGCAGGAGGTTTGGACCTCACGACTGAGGAACAGAGGCTTGTGGTGATCAACGATCATGAAAGCGCTCTTCTCAGGACCAACAAGGTCTTCTTGGTGGGGAGGGTGCTTACACGAAAGGCCTTCAACAAGGATAGGTTCAAACGTCAAATGTTGAATCTTTGGCATCCGAAGACAAGAGTTACGATAGTTGAATTAGACGAGGGGTTGTTTTCGTTTGGTTTTGACAATCGTCGGGAAAGGGCGATGGTGCAAAAAGAGGGCCCATGGTTGTACGATAGTGCCTTGTTAATGTTGCAGAGGGGGACAGTTTGGTGAATCCAGCAAGTATTCCGCTAGTGTCTCAGGAGTTCTGGGTTCAAGTCAAGGGTCAACCCTGGCTTATATGACTCAACATATAGGTCAGTTATTTGGAATCAGATTGGAGATCATGTTTTAACTGATCAGATAAGGAAAGGTGAGCTCTTGGGTAGCATTCTGCGTATTAGAGTTGCACTGAATATTGCCACACCGCTTCGCCGAAGTCTGTATTGTCCATACAGGGCACGGAGGTCCGGGTTGAGTTGCGGTATGAGAAGCTACCAATAACATGCGTTTTATGTGGGCTTCTTGGTCATATGGAAGAGCACTGCGTACAGTTCAAGGGGGAAAACGATGATGATTTCTCGAAGCCATATGGCAGTTGGTTCCAGAACGATATTTTGGGAGATAATTATCGTAAGCCACAAGGTAAGAGGTTTGGGTTGGAGCCGTCGCATGGCTAGTCTATGAAAGCCCCAATGCACGTCGAGGAGGTCGACAGTACGAATAATTATGAAGGGGAGGTCTAGGCCGCGATGGAGGAAGCTGCGTCGGTAGCTATAGAGGCACGGTCAAACGGTGATGGACTAAGAGGGGAACATGAGGATGATAGTATTAATGACACCATTAATTTGCCAGATTTGAATGTTGCCGTTACTTTTGAAGAGATGATGATTGATGCTATGGCAATTATTCCTTTCCAGCCAACTCCTACAAATCAGGAACTAGGTGGGTTGACTTTATTTGGATTTGATTTAAATGCCCCACCAGCTGGGAGTGGGGAGCGTATTCCGGTTCATTCTTCTATTGCAACGGTAGGGGCAGGTAATACAACTGGGAAGGGCCTCATTGGGCCTCGCAACGGTGAGGGGGTTGTATTGGGCCATCATGTCGAAACGGTGGAATACAACTTGGGCCACGCACAGACTGGTGTGGGTTCGGGCTATCCGTAGCGAGAGATGTCGGGACCTAGGATGCATGGACACAGACACGGATACGGCGATACGATACGATACGACACGGGGATACATCAAATTTCTAAAAATGAAGACACGATATGTCAAGGATACGGTAAGTAAAAATATATATAAATAAATAAATATATCTAAAATATTATAAAATAAACATTCAAATTTATTACTCAAGTTTAAATTTATTTCAATAAACTCCTAACAGTTAGAAAGATAGTCCATCCAACAAGCAATTAGTCTTCAAACTTGAAAAATTAAAATGAAAATCCAAACGAAAATTAAAAAAAACAAAGTCTCATTCAACTTCCACATTCATGATGTCTCCTCCAGTAACTAAAGTAGTCTCCAATGACGGTTCATCAAGTGAAAGGTTAGCTATTTCAAGCATCCCGACACTTTCTTCACCCAAGTTTTCAAAGCCATCTCCTCCAACATCCCACAATTGAGTAATACCTTCCTTGTAGGTTGAGCTATTCCTTGATAAAAGACGAAGATTATTATGCACAAATACCAAATCCTCAGCTCTTTGTGGTGTAATCTTGTTCCTTCTTAAAGAGTGAACAAAACTATAAGTGCTCCAATTTCTTTCACAACAAGAGGAGGAACAAGGTTGTCCAAGTAGCTTCAACGCTATGGATTGGAGACTAGGTGTAGAAGCTCCATGGACAATCCACCACATCACTGGTTCCAAATGAAATCTATCATTCATAGAATCAATAGCTCCAAAGTCATTCAAGCACATAGAGAAAGAGGCATACTCCACATTGATATTTCTTCTAATTTCCTCATTGGAAAAGTATCTCTCAAAGCACTTTTTCCTTTCAATTGTAAGTTCAACATCTCGGTGTGGAGCAAGACGACTAGGATCTTCTTGGAGCCATTCTGAACTATAATACCTAAAATAAAAGAAATAACAGTTTAAAAATGTACTCATAAAGCTAAAAAATTAATCTAGAAGAATTTATAAGTAAGTTAGCAAAATCATTACCTTGGATTTAATGAATGTGCCAAACAATG